AGCAAGTCCCTGCATGATTTTCCTTTTTTTTTTTAGGTATTTTATACTCTATCTTTTGACTTTCTTTCAATTTTTTCATTACATCTCTAATATTTCTCATTTGTTGATCTCTAGACATCACCTGGTCACCGTCAACATTTGATCGTTTTTCCGAAAATGCTTTATTAATTGTTACGCTTTCTAATTTAGCAGCCTTCTTCATGGCATCCCTTTTTCTTTTTCGCTTTCGTACCACATAATCATGTATAATACAAGTTAAGCAAAATAATACAAGAATTCCAACCACGAGTAAAGCGGCCCAACATTCAGCTTCGCAAATAGTTTTTTGCTGAGTGGGACGTTTCCTAGGACGTTTTGGTTGACGACGTATTAACATTTGATTTATAGTTGAAAATGAATCATCTACAATTATACGTGAATTTACTTGTTGAATTAATGATGAGTTTATGAATAAAATAGAAAGTAAGGTAATCGAGGATTGAAATAACGATAAAAAAATTTTCTTTGATATTTGCTGTATTAACATATTTGAAATTTATCGTTTTTTTTTATCGCTTAGAATATTATACATGAGACAGCTTATCAGCTATCAGTTAAAGAAATATTCCAAAATTTTATATTAGCAAATGTTTTAGAAAGATCTTTAAGCCAATAATATTGGAAAATAAAAATTGAAACAAATAAATAAAAAATATAATAAAAAGAAAGAACGGTACTAGTTCATTAATCGAAAAAAAGAAAAATGGGAGTATTGATAACGATAAAAAAAAAAAAAAAAATCTCATAAAAAAAAAAAGCGCTAAAAATCTATGCACAGCATAAAAAATTGAAAGACTCATCAAAATGAGAAATGTAAGAAATTTCGAAAAAAAGGGTGTTTTTTATTTAATACCAACAATGGCCAAGGATCAACGTTTTTGGTTCACGGAGGCACCAGCGAATTATATAATCAGGTACGGACGTACGTATGTACATGCGTACATACCTAGTCCTTAAAAAATTGATCACAATCCTTATCTGACAAAAGGTTTTTTTATATATTCCAAAATGAGCTTTCAGTTACTATGTTTAATATCGATGTATGCAGTTTATCAGTCCAGTTCCCATTTATTATTAATTATTATTATAACATGGATAGTTTTATAATATATGCTAGTTATCATCATAAGAAAAGGACTATTTTTAATTCTTTAATCTTTTTTTTTTTCGTTATATTTAATTTTCATTTTCGTTACTAGGATATTAATAGCACTTAACATACTTTCGAAAAATACCGTAAAAATCGGACCCAGGTACCCCGGGTATTTTCATAATTTAAATTTGTATCCGGGGTGCTTCTATATAGGGGGTACACTGTATAGAGTCAATATGTTTTACTATATCTACCTGCCATGATATATATAGTGTATAT